ACCCCAAACCTCCCAAATAATAACAACCTGCAGTTATTGTGGCAGCTACCTCCTTAAACCCTCAGATGTTATTGTACTGAGAAACTTTTATAAACCAGTACACTCTGGCTCTTTGAGGAAGTGTTAAATTTAGTCTGAAATAACCAATGAAAGCTGTGTCATTGGACACTTAAGACCATATTTGTTTTGCACAGTATTTGGTTGACATAGGATGTTATTAAGGATAGGATATTTAAAGAATAGTGTGTATTATGTAACAAGTAAACAACTGGATATTTTACATAAACCCTTTTCTGATGTATCTGTCTAAAAATCATTTCAGCAGTTCCATCTTGGCCTTCTGTCTACCCTGTGAACTGTTATGCAACCTCAGACAGCTGGCTGGTTTGTATGGCATAACACCCGAGCAACAAGCCCAACCAGAGAGGCACTGCCTCTCTGAGACACTGCTGAGAGGGTTGGCATACTACTGTTAACACTGTGAATTGTGTAATCGAACACTCACTGTGAATTGTGCAATATGTGCAACTTTAACAATTACCACTTAAAAGTGTAAACCCACTAAAATCATAGGAATGTCAGTAACATCAAACTTGACTCAATAACCACAGAGAGTATTAAACCTTTTCAGGAATTTTATATAGAAGCTTAACAGAGCTACAGCAAAGCAACAAACGGTAAAATATAAACCTTAAAATCATCCATAATTGGCTTACAATCTATATAAATCAACAACTACTATTTCTAAACATAAATCTAGAATGATCATACTGATTAAAATTATTATGGTTGAGCTAAGCTCTTGATCTGAACAACAAAGATTTTTCTCATGCAATCTGGCTCTCAGCTGGCTCTGGGTAGGGCGGTGGCAGATTTGGCCATTGCTTGTTCCTCTTTTTCCTTTTTGCCATGATTCAAGCTTTCAAGAGGGGAAAAGAATTTATAAACAAAAATATCAAAGCTCATCCGGTTCAATCCTCAAAACCCTCAAAGAGAGAAATAGGACAAATTCAGATAAACAAGGTTTTTCTTGGTCAAATCTTCTTAAAGACATGAAAATGTCTAAAACTGTCTTCTTTTCAAGCCATCCTTTCTCCACCAGGCCGGGGGATTTCTTCATTAATCAGCTTTGTAGCAGGAATTCAGTTTCTCTGCTGAACTGTGAGGCTCTGCCACAGTTTCATCGTCCCTCATTGGCATGCATCTTCCTCCTCTGACAGGCCGAACACCTGTGTCCAATTACCCAGAAAAGGGGCTCTCTCTCTCTCCCTCGTTGACATCCATTTCCCCCTCACAGGCCGAGCCTGCGGGGGAGCACCCACAGAGGGGCTCCTTTTCACGGACTCCCTCCCGCAGTACTCAGTCTCCTGGAAGTCAGATGGTCAACTGGACAAAGCCTCTGGCCGCAGCTGTGAAAGGACTCTCCATTCCTCTTTTTGCCTGGCTTTTTATAGGTTCTGGTCAGTAGCCTTTGTCCTCTCATCCAACTAGATGCTGCAGTTTGCAGTTAATACCTTATTTGGCATGCAAAATCATACTGTTCTTAAACATTGCATATTTTTTACGGTCAGCCCAAACCTACTGCCCATAACCAGCCTCCACCCCACTGTGATCCAGCCTTGGATTCTACTTCCTCTTTTCTAGAAAACCAAACCATCTCAATATGTAACAAAAGTGCAAGAAACTCACATCTGACTGAAATAATCAAAATTCCATCATTGCTTTTAACAGAACAATCAGAATTACACACTGATTTCACACGCACTATCGATGCCTTAAAATCAAAACATAAATCTTTATATTTTGAACACTTTACTTGACTAAACATGGATTATCATTGATCAGACGATCAAACAATTATAAGTCAAATCTTTACTTTTAGGCTTGAAACCATCATTTTTGTCGTTTCCTCAGTATGCTGTGTGTCTCTTCTCTGTGTGGCATGCATACACGAACTTTAATTCCTCATTTCAGATGTGTGCCTACTTCCTGTTTTCTGTGACTGCATTTTTCACTCTTAGATGTAAAATCACTTCTCCCCATTCTTTTAATACAATTATTTCACATTTTATTCTTACACATGTATTAATGATTATTTCAACAAACACACAGATAAATCATCTTATGATTATCTTTACTTATAAAAAGCTTAACTTTCTAAACATTCTGCCACAGCATTTTAATAATAATTCCTTTGTCTTCTCCAGCCTCCCCTGGAACTTCCTCTTTCTCCTCTGCCATCTCTGTATCTTGGTTCTCTCTGGGACCCGTATTTACAGCTTCACTGACAATTGCAACCTGTGTTATTGCAAGTGTTTGTCAAGGACACACTGACAATCACAATGTATATTTTAAGTTTATTTGTTTACATCATCATGAGGTGCCTCTAGAAATACTTTAGCTGAATTTTACACAGCTGCTATCCAGGCATCGGTCACCTTTTCTGTTACTGTTACGACCGCTCGACACTAGTGTGAGCGAGCAGAGAATAAACGGACCCAGGCGGCTGGCTTTGGTGCAAGTAGTGGGTTTATTTACAGTGCTGACAGAGGTGCAATAATTATGTACAAGTATGGAAATGAATGAATATCACCGGGTGATGACCAACAGTAGTGGAGGGGTTATTGTCCATGGAGTGATGTGGCTGGGGTTCGGGGGGGGGGGGGAACAC